TAAGGAAACTCGTTTCAGTACCTCTCATCGCCCTTTTCCCTTTCCCACGAGTCCCACTTTTTTTCTCCTCCCCTGTCTCCGGTCTCTACTGCTAGAATGGATGTGGTGTTGGGGAAGGGGTGGGAGGGGAAGACTTGTCCAAATTGTCCTTCCTTCTCCCCCACAAAGCTGTCCTAGGTCCGCTTACGGTAACAGCTGTTGTTTTACATTCAATTTCAGTTGAAAATTCTGCACAGAGGAGTGTTGTTTTAAACGGTAAGGTTCTCCAGTTTCTTAGAATTTAGTAAATTTATGAAATTTTTTGGGTGCGCGAAACCAAGCACATAACATTTTGCAGGAGAATGCAAGGTCCCTGTAACTGACCAAACGATCATTTATCTCAAACTTTGTTCTTCCTTTCACGGTATCGAGCCACCTAAGGTATTTCTTAAATTACATTTTTTCGTGTAACTGCTTTGCATAACGCTTTTCTCGCCTTGACAGGTGGAACCATACATGGTGCCAATGTTCACGCGAATTCCTCCACCGAACACCCCAGATCATCTCCCGAAAATGGATATACTTTCACAGAAAGTATGTTTGATTTTTTTTAAACGCATTTTAAATTCTTTTAAAAAGTGATAATAACGGCGAGTACAAACTGTGAAAGCGTGGAGTTCAGAATATCATGGCATAAAATTTTTTAGCTCTTTTTGCTTAGTTCATGTCATTGTCCTTTAACATTCGTAAACCCAGGCAGGAACGCACCCAGGCGAGCCGGTACGTTTGCACCAAACTTGGAGTAATCAGGTTAACTGCATGAATCTTTGTTTCATCACACCTACCTTGTGCGCTTAATACCGTAAATCAACATATAAATTTTGCATAAACGAAAATAATTTCCGTTTATCGGTCGTTTTTATGCGTTTTTGCGTATATGGAAATGCGAAAACGCATGTTGCGACGACTCTGGTGTATGTGTGTGTGTGTGTGTGTGTGTGTGTGCGCGTGCGTGTGTATGCGTGCGTGTGTGCGTGCGTGTGTATGCGTGCGTGTGTGTGTGTGTGTGCGTGTGCGTCTATTCGGGTATTTCAACTCGGCACCCAAGCAAGCTCCGGCGCCAAAATTTTGCGAGTGGTTTCCCTGGCCAAATGCCACCCCAGGACTGCGGTGCCAACCCTCGCGCATGTCTAGGCCCCACGTATGAGCGCGTGAAAGTTCCGGGGGAGAGGGCACGGGAAGGTCGCTAACTCGGAGACCAGAAAATTTAGAAAGATGAAGTTTTGAGGTTATGTTTCCCGTCCACATAGAACTTAAAGTTATCAAATTCAGCTCCCGAGCATGCGTAGTTGCCAAGTAGGCTCCGTGAAAATTTTTGGCGGGTATATGGGTAACTCGGGAACCAGGAAAGCTGGAAGGCTGAGACTTTAAGAGAACGCCCCCAGTTCATGTACAACTTAAATTTGTCAAATTCAGCTCCCGGGCATGCGTGGCTTCCACGTACAGCCCCGTAGAAATTTTTAGGGGAAATATGGAACCAGGAAAGCTGGGGAGCTGAAATTTTCAGGGAATGTTCCGTGTCCAAGTACAGCGTAGACAATTAGCTATCCAAAGTTCGAGAACCAATATGTCACACATTTCTAGCTACTGGGTTTCCGAGCGATCTCATCACAGCATGATGCAAAGTTCTATTTTTTTTT